GCAAGTGTGCGCGAGTTTTTCTACGGCGCTTTTCTTTCGTCGGTGAGTTGGTTTTTCTTCTATTTTTAAGTTACTAAGGTGAATGGTGAGGAAACCTTCGTCTTAACTAAACATAAGCCCCAAACAAAATATAATGAAAGCAAAATAAAAGTAAAATAAAAATAAAGCTCAGACTTGGTTCCTTACAATAGCTGACACGTGTGCTATGGCTATCCAGTCATCATCGAATTTACTTTTAAATACAGGTATACCTCGAGTTACGTCATTCTCGATTATACATCATTTGTCAAAAAATACATATATGGAAAAGTAAAAATCAAGTTTAAGTCATTTTATTCGAGTTTACATCCATCCTCCACAAATATTGAAGTTGTAATATCACTAGAAAAGCATTAAAGCGCATAAAATCATATTAAAATATGTACAGTACATTTACAGTAAATGTTAATATAATCGTCATAAATCCTAGAGAACGAAACATGAAAACATTGTGTTTCTGTGTTATCGTCTAATTTATCAGTCTTTAAGTGTTCAATATTGGTGTTTTCCACGGTAGCTTCAATGTCTACCATTTGGCGTCGTTGTCGGCGCCTCTCGATATTGGTAAATTTAATATAAATTAGTTTATTTTCTACTATCGCAAGATAATTTTAATAACTGTATTTGTTATTTAACCTTACAAAATCATCTTATTTTATAATCTCTTAGAGCAAACTACATTCACAAATAAAGAGTCTGCGATGTACTGTAAACATCACCAAATTGTAAATATGTACTGTACGTACATGAAATCATAAATTTAGATTACTTTTTTCTGTTCTATATTAAAAACTAAAATTTATTTGTTTGTAAGCTTAAAATAGATTCTTATTAACCATTATTAAAAATGCATTTATGAATAAAATACAGAATAGGGAATGGTTATTTGTGGTTTAGCCTAGTGACAAGTAAATTCGACTTACGTCGTTTTTCAACTTAAGTCACCTCTCCTGGAACCAATTACCGACATAAAGTGAGGTATACCTGTATTATCTATATTTAATTATTTATGTCTATTATATATGTATAATATTTGTTATGTTCATGGGAATTTAATAATTATTTTGCTAAAAATAATATTTAAAGTAAATATTTGATATTTATTCTTTTGTGTAGTGCTATAGAAGATACTGTGACAGAAAATAAAATGACGCCAATTTGGTTGATTTTGGATTGTATTCAAGTAAGTTTATTTTACTAATCAAAGAATCGAGTCAGTTTTATTACCGGGCTATGTTTTGGCTAATTAAATACTGTATCAAATGCTACGTAATTTGGGTTAAAAGTAAGTGATTGGGTCGCCGTCTTTTATAAAATTTACAGAATTAGAATGCAATTAATTAGCTTAGAATATTCTGGAATGTGACTCAAACCTGCAACTCCCATTTAAAGTGTAGTTACATTGCACATTATGTTGTCAGGGCCACGTTTTCTTTCAAACCAATTTATTTAGAAAACATAACCACGTTGATCATTTGCTTCGTTGACTGGCGACAGCCACGTGCCCAAGGTGTAACCTGATAATAAATTCGGCTTGATTCTTTGATTAGTAACATGATTCCAGCTCAATTTCTGATATGATTTATAAATCTGTTTTAATGATACGTTGTATTATTTCAAATTATAAAGTAACATGTTGTTATTTAAACATAGGATCCTATGAATTTTGGAGCGGTTCTGAGATCTTCATATTATTTTGGAATTGATAAAGTATGTGTTGTGAAAGGGAACAGGTATTGTTTATTAATGAATTTAAAATATTATTTACGTTAATTAATTTTACAATAATTGGACAAAATTAACTTGGGAAACTAAGACTTTAATATTTGGGATTAGGTATTTTTGCAAAAACCAATTGAACAAAGTAATATCACATAAAGGTAACCCGAATAAAAGCACTAAGAGGGGCATTTATTCAGGACCGTTGTGGGTTCAGCCAGGCCTATATTAGGCAGCTGGATGGTCTGCAGAAGAATGCCTTCACAAGGTCCTTTACAGATTGAGTGATTGAATTTCTTTAGTGGTAGGGATGAAATGTGTTCCCACACTCTAAAACATCATGTATTTTATTTATTTACTTAAAAGAGAGGTTGCGGCCGAAGTTTTCAACACGAAAACGTGTATGTCGGACATTCAGCACCACCTTTAAGTAAGCCTAGAAGTTTGACAATGGCATTTGGAACATCAAGCATGACTCCACTGACGTTCCAAACGCCATTGTCAAACTTCTAGACTTACAGGAAAGCGGCGCTAAACGTCCGACGTATACGTTTACGCGTTGAAAACTTCGGCCGCAATCTCGCTAATGTTAGTCCAAGTCTTTGATACCTGGTCCTTCAGAGCAGTAGGTCAACATCTGAGCCACTTTAGCAATCCAGCCAGCACTTTACGGTTTTATTTTCTATTCCTTATAATTTTGTCTTACTTCAGTTAAATTTATTCAGGTCTAATTTATGAAATATTATTAATAACATATATATATTTGATCTATTGTAGTTGTAAACTTTCGCCTGTAGTTAGCAAAGCAAGTTCGGGTGCTTTAGAAGTGATTCCAGTGTATTCGATAAACAATCTTCCAGAATTTTTACAAGTGAGTAGTACTATTATAATGTACAATCGAGAATTTATTATTAATTTAAAATATTAAGACTGATTTCGATATTTTTATATGTTTAATAGATAGCACTTTCAATAAAACAAGCCTTTAAACAAAGCATTATTAAAAACAAAACATACCAACTTTGTTGTGCTATGCACATAGTTTTGTAAGTTGTATGTAATGGTACATTAAGTACCTTTAATGGTAATGGATATGATACTAAAATATACCACAAACTGAGCTTTATTCTAAAATACATCTGTTGATTCTAATGACCATACAACTATAGAATAGCGGCCTTTAGAGCACTTATTAGAAGGGACCACACACATTGTAACAAAGAGCAAGACAAATAGAAGGAGATAAAAAGAATAGCAGAGATTGCTGAGAGGCACAGCGATACTAGAGGCTTCGCATATAAAACGGCAAAGAGAAACCAACTCGAAAATGGATTGAATAGAAGTCCAATAAGAGATATCCCTCAGCAAGATGCATTTCCCTACCATATTATTATAACATAGAGTGCTATATGCATTCTTTATATCAAGAATTTGAAGTATATAATAATACAAAAATCACTTACAGATGTAAAACTGATATATTCAAACTGCTTAGGAGTGAGAAAGATCAAACAGACAGAGAAAGAGCACCAGGGGTATATAAAATATTAAACAATGCCTTCCTGAACACAAACTGGATGTAGAAAAGAAGTAAAAAAAAACCACTGCTTTAGTTATATATGCCAGTGAGAATGGCATTAAAAAGAAAACATTTCAAATTTGAATATTTCGGATCCAAATGCAGAATAGAACACCATCAGCACCAGAAGGAATCATTTTCAAAAAGATCTACCTGAGGAAGCTCCTATATGTGGACAGAAAGCGTTAGTAGCGTGATAAAACTATGTGTAAAGCACAATAAGTTGGTACATTTTGTTTATAGATAAGACCTCATTAGATTTTGATATTGGTCACACTTACTTGGAAAGCTGTATTGTAATATAGTAACCTAATTCTAAGCAATTCTAGCTATAACCCAATTCAAACTCTCGTAATTTATTATGGATTATTTAGATTGGGATGTCGTTCTTTGTCGCTCACTTATATTGGCCAATCCCATTGTTGATCGGGGCTGTTGTAAGGCTCCATTCACTCTACAGAGCCTCTTACACTCCAGTTATGTTCTGCTACTGTCCTATCAGATGGAGACTTGAGCATTACTTGTAGTGTAAATATGTATATTGTACACAGTTGATATAGCATAAATGTGCTAGTATGTGACATTTACTAATTAATCAATCATATTAAATTTATATTCTATATTATATTAAAATAAATTTATTATAAATAATACAAGGATTCAATATTTTGTTTGTATACTTTTATATAATAGGAAAAGAAAGATTCAAACTGGTATATTATAGGAACTGCTTCATACTCTGATAATATTTGCTCCAAATGTATAGGAATTCATACATTAAAATTAAATAAACCAACAATTTTCATATTGGGTAAGTATATTAATATATATTTTTCTTGAATATATTATTTAATTTGTATAAATTAATTTTAAAGATAACAAATGGCTTCGTATAATCTATTATGATCTATACAGTTTATTGGTTTTTCAATATGAATAGTAACAAGTGTGTTTTTACCAACATTCAAATGTAGCTATTATTTATGCTTTTAAAGTTGGTTTACGAACTTCAGGGTATTCAAAAAGTTACTTGGCAAGGGAAAAGGTTTAGTAAAGTTTTACATACAATATTACAGTTTCTCTTATGATAAATGCCAGAAACATCCCTCAGAGGCCCCAAAATCTGCAGAGTGTGGTTCAGAGACTAGTGGGCCAGATTCCACCGAGATCGTGTAATCGGCAGAGATGTTTTCCAAAAACCATTGTCCGAAAATGAAACTGAAGGATGAAGTTTTGTTTCTGGAGGATGTAAAGTCACACTCAAGACGTAAGTGTAACCATTAATAATAGGGTTGGTCTCCAAAACTACTCATCAAAAAACAGCATGAAACTTAACATATAAGCAAGACATTGTAGTCTTTATTCAATAAAACAGGTGAGTGGTTGCATTCTCTGCATGCGCATATGCTGCATGGTGATCACTCGTGTTAATTATAACACTATGTCTCAGCTCTGTTGGAAACAAAAGCCATTCCTGTACCAGAACTCTTGATGGAGTGCTCTTGTGGTGGTTACTAATGGAGTTACAACTTATCTCTCTAGAGAATACCATATACATTCTATGTGATTTAGGTCTTGAGATCTTGCTAGCCATTTATTCCATACAAGGAATATCTTCACTAACAAGTGCAGCCATATGTGATGGGCATTATCGTTCACAATAATAAAATTTGAACCCATAGAATTTTAGAAAAGTCTCACTTGAAGTTCCATTACTTCATCTCTGTATTTTGTTGCTGCGATGCACCCTCTTGCTGAAATGTGGAGATCAGTGAGGCTGTTAAGAATAATGTTGTCTCAGATCACAATACCACCATCTGAAAACAGGTCTTTTCTTGCGACGTTCATAAGATCCTACCAAGTTCCTTGCTCAGAATTACAGAACATTCCAGGACTCAAAATTTCCAGAAAATTATTACACACTAGCACTCTAAACAAAACAATTTATGAATCAATTATACAATGTAGTTTGGAAGATTCAAAATAAATCATGCAAATATTTATCAAGAAAGATGTAGTAAAGTGCAAAGCTGACGACGAAAATAATTACAACAAATGCAAGGACGAAAGAAGGGATGATTAAGTGCAATGATTTAATTGACGAGAATCGAAAATTTACTCGTAAACTAGACAAAAATCTGTAGTTTATATTAAAGTAGAATAAAATCTTGCTATTCTAATTTCTTTACAGGAAATGAAGGTGTAGGAATGTCCGAGTGTGTGTACGATTTATGCGATAACATAGTAACAATATTACCCAGTGCTCATTTGCATCCTGGCATTGATTCCTTGAATGTTTCTGTTGTCTGTGGTAAGCAATGTTGTGTTATTTTATAATCAAATTAGTATATATATATTTTTTTTTTTTTTTGAGTATGCTTATATCTGAGCAACTTTGTTACATGTTGTACATGCTGAGTAGCATCTATACTATACATTTGTCTTTAGTCACAACCTCCGGTGACAGCCACTGACAGGAACACAACACATGAACATGGTTTGGAGGCATTTCAAAAGAACATTCTTGATAAATCAGCTTCCANGGTAGTTACAAGAAGTAGCGTCGGCTCGTTTCCGTGCAATTTAAGTCCGAAATTAATTAATTTATTTTTATTATAAGATTAATTAATAGCTGAAATGATGCCAAGGCAAATCATTGAGATGTATGCTGCAATTTTCACATACATTCTGCAGTTTAAATTAACTTTTTATGTTGATATGTTGATGTTAAATGATATTTTTCATATATTTTCAGCACTAAAGTAAAGTTATAATGTTAACTTTGCAGCATTTTAATCTTTTATTTTCTAAATTGCTGGTTCAATTATAGCATATTTTGTAAAATTTTTGAAGAGGTCATTTGTATGACGAACATCTTTCTCCATGGACGGTTCCTGCATCCGCACTGGCCTCTGTATATATACAGATGGCTCTAAGTCGGAAAGAGGGGTGGGCTCCTCCATCGTGGTGGTCTTCAATAATATAAACGTCTATCAGGCTCAGTATATGCTGGCTCCCCACTGTACGGCTAACCAAGCTGAATCACTGGCTATCAGGAATGCTCTAAGATGGATCAGGAATAATGCCAACTCTAGGCACTATAATAAAGCTACCATTTTTACTGATAGTAGGGTTGCCCTCCTTCAACTCAAGAACCTTAACATAAAACTCCCTATTGTAAGTGAAACTCTCCAAACCCTTCTTGTACTCATGAAGGACATTGACTTAAAATTTATTTGGGTGAAGGGCCACTCCGGTATTCCCGGGAACGAGAGGACAGATCTTCTGGCCCGCTCTGCCCCTGATAGGTGCATCCACTGCACTTACAGCAGTGTTCCCCCCACCTGGCTCTCCAATCAGATTGGTCTGGCCTGCTGGAAGTATTGGCAAACAAGGTGGGATGCCAGCTCCACGGGTAGGTTAACTCACAAGTTTATTCCCGACGTTATTATCAGGAGGGAAAACAAGCATCTGCTCCCCTCCTTCCATCTTACTCAACTGTTGACCGGTCACGGCAACTTTAAAAGTTACCTCTTGCGGTTTCTCCATAAGGGTAATGGACAGTGTACTTGCGCTCTCAACGAGATGGAAGAGCCATATCATATTATTTACTACTGTCCTCACTATACTTCTCAAAGGAAGAGGCTCATTAATACCGTTCTCATGGAAGGGATTCTTTGGCCCTGCGAGCTCAAGACGTTTGTTAATAACAACACCATCCACAGCGCCTTTAGGGACTTTGCCCATAGCATAAATGTGCTGGGCTAATTGTCCCTCTAGCCTTCTGGTTTTATTGCTGTCCCCATGTTGTACAGTCTCCCATATGTATGCATATACTTTATCGTTTTTTTTTTTTTTTCCATCACACCACCTGCATGGGAATTTATCTGCCACATAACTTGACTTCCATCTTTTCGTAATGAGCTTCATCTTGTTAATTGTGCTCCCGGAACCCCGGTTCCTATGTAATCTCCATTTCCTCTTTACTATCTCACTATCTCACTATCTCTTTACGTTCCTCTTCCCTCTTACCTCTTCAACTTCACGTCTTCCTTCCGTTTCATCTCTTGGGCTATACCATTGAGTGCGGCCCTTTAACCTTTCTATTGTATTGTATTGATTGTATGACGAACGTAATCAGTATCTAAATGTAAGCATTTTTAACAGTTCTGCTAATTTACAGGCAAGTATTGTTATAGATTGATAAGATTGACTCGGATGCTGTCTTTAGCATCATGTCTGCCAACTAAGATAAATCTTTTGACATAAACAGCATGCAACTTTTCCTCTGTAGTGCAGAGAGTGTCAGATATAGTAGGTCAGGTACAGATCTTGATATAGCAGCATTTGTGGTTCCACTACATACGATAGACTTAATTTGATGTACAATGCTGCACCATTCCCAGCATTATAACATGTAATTTAAAGAGAATTATATTCTTATACAGTGGGTTATGCCCATGTGGCTCAACCAAGTGGTGACGTCAACTTACTTTGACATCTCAACACTTGGTCTGCCTATGACTTCATTACTTCATTCTTGGGAGTTCCTCCCATTTCCACATCCACTGCAGAGGGATTTTATGATTGCACTATATTACAGATCACTATTATTTGCTAAACAGCTAAGTAAGTCTAAACCAGGGCTGTGGAGTCAGAGTCGGAGTCGTGGAGTTTTGATGTTTTAGCCGGAGTTGGATGATAAGGAAAAGTCGGAGTCAGAGTCGGTAGATTTTTACGCGACTCCACAGCCCTGGTCTAAACTGAAATGCTGTTTAATTGTATTACCTCATACCCACTTGCAATACAAAATTCAGGTCTATTAACAACTCAAAAGTCAAATGAGATATTCAAGTTTGTAGTTGGAGGCCAACACCATGCTAATTTAAATCTGTCAGTATCTAATCTAGACTTTATCTTGTTGAACTGGCAATTGCGAAATTCCACACCGAATTGTATAATAAACCAATCTTCCTTACATTATCAAGTAAGATACGAACTAAACACTCTCTTCCAATTATTGAACATCTTTAATGTCAGTCTTAAGGATGCTTACCTTACTTTCAAACATTTCTTCTGTAATTTCGCTCTCTGACTATGAGTTGAAGGCTTTAAAATACTTAGAATTAAGACAAGCATCCTAAGATCTGCAGTAAAGTTATGTTCACACTGTCATAAGAACAAAGAGAAATGCTGTTCGCGTAGTATGCAAAACTAAGTCAGAATATGTTTGTAAAATTTGAACTCGTATAAATTCTCAACGTAATTGTTTTAATAAAATAAAATACAAAAATAATTTTTAAATTGTTTTTATTTACATTCTGTGATGTATTTACAAAAATGATATTGGAATAGTTGGAATAGTCAAGCATATTTACAAATGTAAAAAATGATAGCAGATGCATTATAATGACAATTCGATCTCCTTTGCACATCCAGTTAATTCATTTCTTATCATATTCTTTGCTTTATGGATTTTAAATGGACTTGTTTTCGACATTTTACAAAGCAGAATAAAATGGTTTTAGGTAGATTCAAAAAAATATATAATAAAAAATTGATCTTTTTTAGCAGTGGCGTCAGTATAGTACATGAGATCAAACATTTTGCTGGATTCAAAATGTAATTACATTCTCTTAAAAAATTCCATTAGTGCAAGTAATTATGGTATACCGTGTTGTAGTCGTGCGTGAAAATCCGACGTATACTCATTCAAAAAAACATAAATTAAGTGGTGAAAAGAACGTCGCGCTCCACCACTGCATCCGGCGAACTAAAACTGACTGCTCGGAACTACGGAATAAAATACACCTCTTTTCTATTTTGAATAATTTCCTTTTCTTAAATTTCTAAATAATTAAAAAAAAATTCCCTTTTTTCCTCTCTCTTTTTTTTCTTTTTTTTTAATTATTTTTCCCATTTATGCTATCTAGATTAATAAATGTTCAGCTTTATATATGAACTAAGCCACTAATAGCTTGTCTCTGAGTACTGTGGTTACTTTGAAGATGTTGGGAGTCAACGTGATGGAAATGGTGCCATCCATGCTGGGCAGGATTTCTCCTTTCGGGATTCTGAGATGAAATTGATGTATTAAACTAGCTAGGAACAGGAAGACTTCCATTTTAGTTAACGTGTCGCCCACACACATACGCCTACCTGTAAATATATCAAATTTAAAATGTTAAATATTTAATTCAGTTGTTAAAATATATATTAGTATATGATCAAACCACGATTTAGTGCGGTGGTTTGCTTGCCTCTGAAATTATCACTAAATCGAGTGTAGTGTATCTCGAAGCAATAATTGTGTATAGCAGTAGGGTGTACACGCATGTTTGAGTTTGAGAAAGTAAGTCGCATAGTTTAACAATAATTTTAATGTTATTTGCAATGCAAAATTATGAATTTATTGATTTGCAGATTGTGACGACTTCTCTAATTTTTGTCGGGAAGATCCATTCACGAGTTTGATGATAGAATCAAGGTGTGTATCAAGTATAAAGTTGACAGTAACTATACTAAAAATAATCATTTTTCATTCAGTCATCATCATCAAGGCTGTTGAGCATTTGGATGAGGCCCTGGCAGGTAGAATGGGCCCCTTCCGTTCCTTAAAGAGTCCTTTTTTTTTCCATTTCTTTTTGAACAAATGAAATACATAGAATCCTTCTTTATTAATAGAGCTCTTCAAATATGTAGCAGGAACTTATGTACAAATCACACCATCCATGCTTTCCCACAGTAACACTAATATATGAGGATTTTGACCATAATTAGGGGGTTTTCAGCCCATAAACGTGGCTGCAACATTCCTATATTAGTATGGTTTGTGTGGTTTCTTATAGTATTAATAGAATAGACTCTTAAGGATTTTACTTTTTTGTTAGTAACATTAATTTATAGGGGTAGTAACAGTTATAGGCCTCCAAGTTTTCTCCTGGGCTGGAAAAGCCTCCAGCTTTCCCTCTCGAAAAGGTCTTGGTCAATCAAAGTCAAGCAGTGTTATGTCCGGATAGCATTTTGAATTGAGATGGTCAAAAGAGACAAAGATATTGATTGACCTGCCACTCCATAGAATCCAGAATTAAACCTGGGTTGGATCCTGAAATTCTCATAAATGGTTTAATTTGGATATGTTGGGTCCCTTGTAATTAGTTACCTTGTCCCAATTGTGGATCCACAATGAGCTTGAAAAAGAAGATGGAGACCCATGATGAGAATACCATTATGGGGGTATATCCCATGACATAGAAATCTCATCTCTCAAATCAGTCTGCTCATGCCATACGCCTCGTGGCATGGCCCTACCTACCACAAAGCATGTGGAACAAGCATCTCCCACTTGCTATTTGGTTATTACCATAAGAAAAACAATACATGTGGTCTGGTTTCTGCCCTCTTAGTACCTCCAGTGTAGAAAAAGTTGGTGATGCTAAACAAGGTTGGTTTCTCTGTTATGTATTGTTGTCATGTAGGAAATGCAGCTTTACAGGCAATCCTTGTATAATGAATTTTAGACCCAAAAATTTTTAGAATTTTCATTATATTTGATTATAAATTCAATTTTACGCATAATACAAGGGTTATTTTAATCATATAAACACACATTTTCCCAGTTATGACACATTTTAGATAATTATCTTTTCTAGAATATATACATGTGTGTTTATATATCACTAGTTTACAAACATTCTTGTAAATTCACTAAATTTTATTGAAAACCATTGAGAAAATTGCCATTTTTTTTAAAGAAGTAACCAGAATCATATGATTCGTGCATGTGATTATGGTGTGAATACCATTTATGATTACTGTATTTAAATACAATTAACTAAATGCAAATTACATTGAGTATTTTATATTTGTGCATTAAAACGCCAGCCAATTCTTGAAAGATTTTTAAATAAATTTGTCCATATTTATAATATAGACACAACCAACGATCGCTTAAATGATCGGGCTAGAATTTGGCTAATTAATTGATTAATATAAAGCAATTTGTCACTAGTGGGAGGCGTTAGGCGCCATCTCTTGATTAAATTAATAATAATATATTTTATTTAATATGATAATGTTTTGAAAAATAAAATAAGATCTTACCAACTGAAAAGGGCATGAAAAAATCGGGTTTTTGTACTTCTCCATTTTTTAAAAATCTTTCGGGATCGAACTTTTCCGGATCGATCCACAAGTGTGGGTCCATATGAATTGCCCACAGGTTAGGAACGACATGAGTGTCTTTTGGTATGACGTAGCCGGCCAGAATTGTATCCCTAAAAACATAATTAATTAGTAACTAATACGAAGCAAAGCTAGTTAAGTAATAATATAAATTCAACTCACTCTAAAGTTGCGTGTGCATTTCCTAATGCTAGGACGTTAGCTCTTCTTAAGACTTCTAGAATGGTCGCTTCCATATATGGTAATTTGGAAAGATCGTCCAATGACGGTAATCTCTCTCGTCCAATCACATCATCCAATTCTTTCTGCGCACGTGCCTGCACGTTAGGATAGCAAACCATAAAGAGAACTGCCCAGTCTAGAAGTGACGTCACAGTTTCTAATCCCGCGCTAAATATATCACCCATGACTTGAACTAATTGTTCATCTACAAATACAAATTGACAAAATTATTTGTTTAATTCGTTAATTAAAAATATAAAATATAAATTAATTAATTTCGTTAGTTTTGATGTTTACTGTACATGACGTCAGGAATTTTTATAAGAGCAGACGACTTTTCGTTCGCCCGAGTAAGATATAAAATCAAAAATTAAAGTATTATTTATTTTATTTACCGATTTAAAATAAAAAGATAAATTTCAGTGCAATTTCTTATTATTTCAAAAGTATTTTAACGATAAAATTACATAATGCCCAATGACATTTCGTTATTTTTGAGTGCGGAGTATGCGTGACGTCACGGATTTTCTTTAGAGCAGACGACTTCTCACTCACTGATTTAAATATCAAGAAAATGCCGAAAAAGTCGAAATTTTTCAAATAAATACGTAATAAATTGAATTTTCAGTGAGTTTGCTTTAATATTTCTTATGAAATGCGTAAAAAATCTCAGATTTTACGCAGAAAATCGATCAGGTAAGACATTTGTGGTTAAGCCTAAATCGTCTGCTTCTAAATTTAAAATTAAACGTAATATTTAATGAATTTTTATCACTTAATTACTGTTAGGAAAGGAAGAAAAAATTGAATTTATTTTTTTTCCTTCCTTTTCTAAATTTTGTCATCATTAAAATGAAAATGAATAAATATTTATTTCCATTTTAATATTGATAATAATTTGAAAGTATAATATAAACAATAAACGTATAAACAATAGTTTGTACGGGGCAAGGAAATAAAGTGGGCCCTTTATGCTCATTAGGGCCCGCCAATAGGCGAACGGATGGAATTGGTGGTTTGGTGTTCACGTGACCAACGACTGGACCACGTGGGATTTTTTTTCGGGTTTTCTTCGCCTATCTAACACCTACATACGGGCCAATTTCTCTTAAATCACGTGTCTAACGCCTGAAGATGGACAAGATTCATATAATCACGTGTCTAAAGAGGAGCCAGTTTCACATAATCACATGTCTAATATCTAAAGAGGAGCCAGTTTTTCATAGGAAGTCTTTCATTGACAGTTCATCCACGTGTTGCGTGCCTTATTCTATCTAACCAAAGCCCCCCCTTTTTTAACAAATGAAATACTGTACGTTTCTTTATTGATAAAAGGCAATTTACGTTTCAATGAAAATAACACTATAGGAATAGGAAATATTGCAAACTCCTAAGTTTTCTCCGAGACGGGTCAAAAATAAGCGAAGTAAAATTAAATAACTACTTCAATTGTTTTACTTATAAATATTTCAAGAATATGCAAATTTAATAGCGACTGTAAACAATTTAATTATACACATAATATATTGCAATTATGCAAAATTGGAGTGAAACACATTACGAAATTCAATTCTCCTTCCTTTTTATGCTTCTAACTCTAAATGAAGCCTGTTCAGTATAATGAAAAGTCATGTAATTGTTTGTTGTCCCGTTTTCGGGTAATAAAGAGTAGGGTTTGCATATCAGATAATATTTTTATGTAATTTATGATGAAATTTCCGTTTAGCCTCTTTTTTTTTAAGTGTAGCTCGATTTTTATGACGTGAATGCAATCAGTCGATTTGTTATTTGATTTCTTTTACGTAATTTTATAAACACGAATTTTCTTTTATAGATTCAGAAGGTAAAAGTAAATAAAATTAATAACTGCATTTCGATTAAAGAAAAATATATATTTCGTCTTTCGTGATTATATAATAAACAGTTAATGAGATTTTTGATGCTTTGTATTTAATTATCATTTATTAATTAGCTAGCCTCTTAAATAAAACCTTTTTTTTTTTTTAATTGTTATATACCTTCGGTTTGATAAATAACTAAAACATCAGCTTAGTTATTCGTTTAATTTATTTTTATAAAAGTTTCTTAGCCAATTGCAAATTACATTGATCTATGTGTTAATTATTAAGCAGTGAAATTTCTCAAAAACAATTGTTGCACTATTTGACAGTCAAAATTAAAATTTATCGATGATTAATGATGAATGTTTCAAATTTGTTTATGCTAAGACATGAAAAGTAGTGTAAATATTCGTATGTTGAAATAGTATCTAGTGTTTTGCCCCCTGCATTTTGCTCGAAGCCATCTTGAATCTTTTCCATCATTAAAGTAACGCATCTTAATAATAAAATTCATTATAGAATGTGCTTAAAATAAAATAATACAATATATTGTACATTTTTTAATGTAATTTTTACTCTAATCATTCGAATTAACATTGTTTATGATAATAAAAACGGTCTATTAGCGAAATATGTTAAAATTTTCAAGGAAAAAAGTAATTTTTTTAAAAATATTTTANATTTTAAAGATAACAAATGGCTTCGTATAATCTATTATGATCTATACAGTTTATTGGTTTTTCAATATGAATAGTAACAAGTGTGTTTTTACCAACATTCAAATGTAGCTATTATTTATGCTTTTAAAGTTGGTTTACGAACTTCAGGGTATTCGAAAAGTTACTTGGCAAGGGAAAAGGTTTAGTAAAGTTTTACATACAATATTACAGTTTCTCTTATGATAAATGCCAGAAACATCCCTCAGAGGCCCCAAAATCTGCAGAGTGTGGTTCAGAGACTAGTGGGCCAGATTCCACCGAGATCGTGTAATCGGCAGAGATGTTTTCCAAAAACCATTGTCCGAAAATGAAACTGAAGGATGAAGTTTTGTTTCTGGAGGATGTAAAGTCACACTCAAGACGTAAGTGTAACCATTAATAATAGGGTTGGTCTCCAAAACTACTCATCAAAAAACAGCATGAAACTTAACATATAAGCAAGACATTGTAGTCTTTATTCAATAAAACAGGTGAGTGGTTGCATTCTCTGCATGCGCATATGCTGCATGGTGATCACTCGTGTTAATTATAACACTATGTCTCAGCTCTGTTGGAAACAAAAGCCATTCCTGTACCAGAACTCTTGATGGAGTGCTCTTGTGGTGGTTACTAATGGAGTTACAACTTATCTCTCTAGAGAATACCATATACATTCTATGTGATTTAGGTCTTGAGATCTTGCTAGCCATTTATTCCATACAAGGAATATCTTCACTAACAAGTGCAGCCATATGTGATGGGCATTATCGTTCACAATAATAAAATTTGAACCCATAGAATTTTAGAAAAGTCTCACTTGAAGTTCCATTACTTCATCTCTGTATTTTGTTGCTGCGATGCACCCTCTTGCTGAAACGTGGAGATCAGTGAGGCTGTTAAGAATAATGTTGTCTCAGATCACAATACCACCATCTGAAAACAGGTCTTTTCTTGCGACGTTCATAAGATCCTACCAAGTTCCTTGCTCAGAATTACAGAACATTCCAGGACTCAAAATTTCCAGAAAATTATTACACACTAGCACTCTAAACAAAACAATTTATGAATCAATTATACAATGTAGTTTGGAAGATTCAAAATAAATCATGCAAATATTTATCAAGAAAGATGTAGTAAAGTGCAAAGCTGACGACGAAAATAATTACAACAAATGCAAGGACGAAAGAAGGGATGATTAAGTGCAATGATTTAATTGACGAGAATCGAAAATTTACTCGTAAACTAGACAAAAATCTGTAGTTTATATTAAAGTAGAATAAAATCTTGCTATTCTAATTTCTTTACAGGAAATGAAGGTGTAGGAATGTCCGAGTGTGTGTACGATTTATGCGATAACATAGTAACAATATTACCCAGTGCTCATTTGCATCCTGGCATTGATTCCTTGAATGTTTCTGTTGTCTGTGGTAAGCAATGTTGTGTTATTTTATAATCAAATTAGTATATATATATATTTTTTTTTTTTTGAGTATGCTTATATCTGAGCAACTTTGTTACATGTTGTACATGCTGAGTAGCATCTATACTATACATTTGTCTTTAGTCACAACCTCCGGTGACAGCCACTGACAGGAACACAACACATGAACATGGTTTGGAGGCATTTCAAAAGAACATTCTTGATAAATCAGCTTCCATTTAGAGATAGCCATTATTGGCGGTCTGGCTGTAATATCAATAGTCTTATGAACAACTCTACAATAATTAGTTTGTATTAATGAGAGTGCTCTGTTATCTACAAAATCTAGTACAAAGTAATTGATACTATGATACACTTCTTGTCTTGTCTAGTTCTCACAAACCATACAAAGTAATTGATGCCATTGCTTTTGATGTGACATCAGATAAGATCTGTATAGTCACACGATTGTTTTTTATTGATGATCTTGCCACATCACAGTTCATATCACTCATGGCATAATTTTAAAGAATCAATGAACATTTCCTCTCTACCCCATAGAATACACCTTATACCTCATAGAACGATGTTACTAACAAAACACACCTTTAATAATCCAGCAAATGAAAATTAAAATAAAAACGTTTTCGATCGTTTCTTAACGATCTTCCTCAGTTACCATCACAAAGAATAAAATCGAACACAAAAAAGAACGTAAATACGAAAATTAAAATATAAATAACGGAAAATAGCTGTATTGATAAAAGAACGAAAATAAACAAAAAACAAACTAAGTTGAAAAAAATGTCCTTTAACAAAAATAAAAATAAATAGTCATTAATTCCCGTAAAAGGATCGCCAAGCTGTAGGTAAAGAGTCCGCATCTCTATGGTTGATGCAACCAGTTTTCTTGTGTGCCTTAAATATCTCCAATTTCTCTAGATATTTCATTGTATGTAAATTCGTCGTAGGCTTAATTATTTCCGCCCAATCCCAATGGACTTGAATGTCGTGTTGTGTTGCATAAGCCGATAGCATGGTGTTGTCAAGTTTTTTATTAATGGTATATTTATGCTCTTTGATACGTTGGTGCAAGTTGCGCATAGTTGCGCCTATGTAGAAATCTGGATCTGGAGAAATTGGAGATATTTAAGGCACACAAGAAAACTGGTTGCATCAACCATAGAGATGCGTACTCTTTACCTACAGCTTGGCGATCCTTTTACGGGAATTAATGAC